TTTATTAGAATTGTGAAGTTGTCAAAGACTTAGTGTTAATAGTAGTAGTCTAAATTATTATTAGACTACTAATTCGGGAGTAGATCTGAAGGCTTTGTTCGTTTAAGTCTTCTCAGCAGGCCAGATGTATTAGACAGATGGTTGACTGTCTCGTTTGGATGCTGTTGTAATCGTTTTTGAAGCTTTACCGCGAACTTCTGGATTACTGCAGCCACAGATTCGATCTTCAAGTCCCGATGGAGGTCAGTATTCCTAATAAACCACGGAGCGTTGACTAAGTTTCTTAAAACTTTGTTTTGAAAGTTTTGAATGATTTGAATAGTGGATTTTGGTGTACATCCCCATAACTGGATTCCATACGTCCACACCGGAGCTAAGACTTGCTTGTATATCATTAATTTATTGTTTAAAGAGATGGGTGATTTTTTCCCAAGAAGCCTATATAAATTTTTGTAATTGGATTCTAGTTCAAATCGTTTTTTCTTTATATGTTCTTTACATTTCAACTTAGCATCTAAGTTCATGCCAAGGTATTTAGCTGTGTTTGAGTATGGTATTCGAGCACTGCACATAGTTATCGGCAAATAGTCAATTTTTTTGTTTGTGAAGTGTACATGGACGGATTTCGTTTGGTTGAGCTCAATTTTCCATTTTTTAGTCCAACTAATAATTTGATCAATGGAATGTTGCGTTGCTTCTGTTGATTCGTTTATTGTGTTTCCAGTGGTAAGGATCGCTGTATCATCTGCAAACGTGGCAATAACACTTTCTGGTGGGACTTGCAGGTCGGCTGTGTAAATTAGGTACAGAATTGGGCCAAGTATACTTCCCTGCGGTGCTCCGGCTTCAATGGGTTCAAGTGTTCAGTACGCACCTTTATATTTCACTTTGAAGAATCGGCAAGATAAGTAGGACCACATAATTTCGGATATTTGTCTCGAAAACCATTGTTCAATCTTATGCACAAGTCCTTTGTGCCAAACTTTATCAAAGACTTTCGATGCGTCTAGGAAAACTGCAGTGCAAATTTTTTGTTCTTCAAGTGCTCTTTCGATTTTGTCGCATATTCTGTGTATTTGTTCTACAGTAGAATGCTTTTTTCGGAACCCAAACTGGTGACTCGGAACTATTTGATTTTCTGTGAGAACAATCTGTATTCTATTAAGGAGAATTCGTCCAAAGATTTTTGATAAAACGGGTAATAAAGAAATTGGACGATACGACGAGCACGTTTTCCTTGTTTGTGTACGATAAGTACTTCCGTCACTTTCCAATAAATTGGGAAGTGTCTTAAGCGCAGAGCTGCATTAATTATTTTGCATAGTTTGATTATTCCTTTATTAGGGAATTGGTTTAAGATCTCATAGGTTATCTGATCCCAACCAGGAGCCTTTTTTAGTTTCATATTTCTTATTTCATTTTTTATTTCCCTTAGCGAAGTTGGTTGTATGGATTTAATTAATTAATGGATTTAAATTAAACGTAGGAAGATTATTTCCATCATCATTTAGTGTAAATGTTCCCTTAAGAAATTTGGCGAATAATTCTGCTTTTTCTTCGTCACTATTGGCCCATGATGTGCCATCTGCTTTAATAGGAGGATTATGTTTTATAGGATATTTTACTGCTTTCACGGCTTTCCACAGCGAGTAATCTGTGCGTTTCTCATAGGAACGGCTTCTAAGATTCTGTTGTATCTTATCGTTTTTAACATTATTGATAAGTTTTCGTAGTTGTACAGTTTTCCTATTTAATTCCGTTTTATCAGTTGGTGATCGTGTTTGTTGCCATTTTTTACGCAATTTCCTTTTTTTCCATATTAGTTTATTTATTTCTTTTGGAAGAGTTGGTCTAATCTGGTGTTTAGAGAACTGAGAAGTACTCATCTATGCTGATTTTTGAATCTGCTGTGTAAATAGAAGAACTTCGTTATCCACTTCAGTCGTTGAGTTTAGATCAGAGTTAAGATTAAGAGTGTTTTCAAGGTGCAGCCTAAAGTTATCCCAGTCAGTAGATCTATTTATTAGGTAAGGCTTCGGTTCATTTATGACTACACTTTTATTAATAGATAGGTGCACAGGTGAATGATCAGAAGAGAGATCGTATCCACTTTCTATTTGTAAGAATTCTTTCGGTATTTTTTTAGTTATAAAAAAGTCAATCAGATCTGGTATTTTCGCTGGGTCAGTTGTCTAATATGTTGGGCTTCCAGTTGATAAGACATCACACCCTGTGGCTTGTATGGCTTTTAATAGTTCTCGGCCCTTAGTTGTAGTTAATCGCGAACCCCAATGGACATGTTCAGCGTTGAATCGCCGCCAATAATGAATTTATTTTTAAATTTAGAAAGGAAGTTTGTATATTGATCTGTACTAATAGAATGTCTTGGAGGACTGTAGACCGAAATAATTGATAATTTTTGATTTTGTACTTTTATTGAAACAGTTGTGGCTTGAAACTTGCTACAGCTGATATTTTCCTCTTCATAGTGACTGATGGTTTCCTTTATTATAATAGTACTTCCCCCTCGTGCATTGTTATTCGAGTGAGTAGTGTGGTAAGTTTCATAACCTCTAAATTTTATATGTAATTCGCTCGTAAAGTGCGTTTCTGCTATTAGACATATATCGATGGACTTATTGTAAAGAATAGTCTGTAGTTCGTTTTATTGATGTAGCAGCCCATTTGCGTTCCAGAGCATAACTTTTATTGAAGACTGCATTACATACGGTGTTTGGGAAGGATCTGTTTTAGTTTACTTATCCGTTCATCTAAAACTTTATTAAATTTTTCCTGGTTTTGTCGCAGTTGAAGTTCCAAGTGAAAGGATGAAGAAATTTCTCCATAGTTATTTGATTTAAGTGCTTGGGCATAGAAAGGTGTTTCATAATTTTGTGTTAGTTTAGAAACTGGCAAATTTTTTATATATTCAGTGGCAGCAGAATTGGGTTTATCTGGCTTACTACTTTGGTTATCTTTCTGAACGGTTTTGTTTCGCATATTTTGTAGCTCTTTTGCTACAATACATCCGCGATAGTTAGCTGGATGAGATTCGCCACAATTGCAGCATTTTGGTAAAGTTTCTGCTGGTTTTGTACAGCTTGTTGTTGGATGATTTCCCGTAGATTTGACACATCTTGCCATTTTTGAACAGTAGTTCCTTGTGTGACCAAAAGTTTGACAATTTTTACACTGAGGTATTTGATTTGGTCTTTTTACTGCTTCAATGGAGACAATAGTAGCTAATATATTATTTATTCCGTAAACTATGAAACTGAAAATCAAATCGACCACATCACCATCTCTAAGAAATGGCGTGGATCGCTACTGGATGTACGGAATTGCAGAGAAGCGATCACCACTTAATCACCACCTAGAAGTCAAAATGCTGAAGAAAATTAACGTCCAAAAGCTTAAAACACCCAGTATTAAGACAGGGTACACCGATCAGTTGAAATCGTCACTAAACTCAACAACTACCGAAGAGCGCATGGAATGGCAAACTGTCAAGACCATTTCCACTGATGCCGTTAAGGACCAAATAGGTTTCTATAAACGTTCACGCCAACGATGGATATCGACGAAACGTGGTGCTTAATTGAAAACAGAAAACTTAAGTAAGCTGAAATAAATCATGCAAGAACGCGGGCTGCTTAATCTGCCCTACAACAGCAATACAAGTAATGTAACCAGTAAGTAAAACGCAGTGTACGTAGCGACAAAAGAAAGTGGTACAATAATATAGCCAATGAAACTCAATACACGCAATACAAGCAATATAACTAGCAAGTAAAACGCAGTGCACGTAGCGACAAAAGAAAATGCTGCAATAATATAGCCAATGAAATTCAAACCGCAGCTGAACTACATAGAAGTGGTGATATGCACAAAGCTACTAGAAAGCTTACTGAAAATATCACCAGGAGCAGTAAGCCGCTGAAAGACATAAATAGAGTACTGGTTACAGATCAATGCAAACAAATGGATCTGTGGTCCAAATTTTACAGTAATATGTTAACAAATGAACGTTCCGAGGCTCAATTGCACTACGACTGCGACAGTCATTCTGAAAATAGAAACATTTCCACCTCCTGCCCCGATATTGCAGAGATCATAAGTGTAATAAAAACACTAAAGAACGGCAAAGCACCAGTCCCCGACGGTTTAGTACCGGCACTATAGAAAACTGACCCACATAAAAGCGCACAGATCATCCACCCGTTTATAGAACGTTTTTGGCAGTCAGAGAACCTTTCATCCGAAGTCAAATGAGTATTATTGTTAAATCTCTTTAAAGTAAAATCTTGGTTGTCATATCTACATAAAAGACTTCATCTATTTAACGTTGTCAAACACTATTAATCAGCTGTTTGGCAACAAAGGAGAATGAAGTAAGCTGTAAGCTTGATTAGGGACATGAGAGCAGCTTCTGTGTTGGGTTAAAACTAAAAGACTTCCTCTTTGGTTTTGAATCGTGAATCGGGTAACAACACATGTCTAAAATTAACAACACATGTCTAAAATTAACAACACATGTCTAAAATTAATAAAAATAAATAAACATTAAAATACATACAAAATAATTGGAGTATTCATTTTCAAACAGAACAATAAGGCAACCTACGAGTTTATGTGCTCGGCAGTTTGCGACCAGTTAAACAAAATACTAAAATATATCATCCAACACGTTAATGTGCGTGTTGGAAGCTTGATATAACTATTTGCGGCTAAAATAAGAACAAACAAGTTCTTATCATACTTGGTTGATACAACAATTTGTAATTTAATAAGAACAAACGCGTTCTTATCATTTTGGTGACCCCGACGTGATTGCAGCATTAACAGGATCATCACTTGGTGCGTAATTTACGGCACCTAAGAATTTGGTGCATGTACACATAACGTGATTGCATTAAGACACGTGATCAATTGTATTCAGTCAAAATTCATCTGGTACCAACTGTTAATTTCATACAGGTATTAATTTTTCACGTGAAAAAATGGCAACCATTGAAGGAGATAAGAAACAAGAAGGAAACAAGCCGGTGTCGACCGAAGACAAAAACGTGACAAAACCGTTACGGAATCAAAGGGCGCTGATTCGCGTCATTGAAAAGACCATGAAGGAAATAGAATCAACATTTGAAGAACCACAACAAGAAGTGGCTTACAGGACAAGTCAGGCACAGCTGGAAAATTATCTCAGCAAGTTAGAACAAAACAATGATATAATATGGAACTCCACCACTGCAGACACGGTAAAGGACTACAGTTGGGATGTGTTTTTTGAAATAGAAACAAAACTACACAATAAATTGATGTTAATAAAATCAAAGCTAAAATTGTTAAATTCTAGTGATGGTATCTCAGAAAATACAGTAACATTGCAATCAGTAAAATTGCCACAAATTACGCTTCCAAGTTTTGACGGAAACCCATTAATGTGGGTACAATTTCGCGATTTGTTTTTACAGCTCATTGACGAGCAACCATTTAAACCAATGCAAAAAATGTTTTATTTAACCACCAATTTAATCGGTGAACCGAAAAATCTAATCAAACATTTGCCAGCTTCAACAGAAAATTATGCCACAGCATGGCAAATTTTAAGATCTCGATACGACAATAAACGTCTACTCATTACAGCGTTACTCAACAAGTTGTTAAGCCAATCGTCTTTAACTGCGGAAACTTCATCAGGTTTGAAATCGCTGCATGATGTCACTAAGGAGTGCATTTTGGGCTTAAAGGCACAGGGTATTCTAATAGAAGAATGGGATGCAATATTGGTGCACCTCACTTTAAAGAAATTAGATAGAGGAACTCAAACAGCATTTGAACAATCTCTAAAGGATAATCGTTCACTCGTGTCGTTCGAAGAACTTCTACAGTTTATTGAAAGCCGATTTCTGTCACTGGAGGCTTTTGGCAGAGGATTCAACGTAAAGGTCTTAAACACATCGAGAGTAGTTGCTGCAACAAACGAAGGATCAAATTACGAAAAACTATGTCCGGCATGCAAGAATGACCGTCACCCATTGTACACGTGCAAGTCATTCATACAAGAACTTCCCACTAAAAGACTTCAGTTAGTTAAACAAATGCGGTTGTGCATTAATTGTTTAAAGTTTGGCCATTTTGCAAGAGAATGCTCGTCAGACAATTGTAAAATATGCAATAAAAAACACAATTCTCTTTTACATCTGGAAGATGCAACATGCACTAACCCAAATAAAATAACAAATTCGAGTAAGTCAATAAGCCTGATCTCCAATTATAACAATTACAACAAGGGTTATGTTGTATTGGGAACAGCACGCGTAATAATACGAAGCAATAAAGGCATCAAGGTTGAATGTAGAGCATTATTAGACTCCGGTTCACAAGTAAATCTTGTAACGGAAAGACTCATCAAAAAACTAGGAGAAAATCCAATGAATGTATCCGCATGCATCGAAGGTATTGGACAAAGGAAACAAAATGCTCAAAGGCGAGTAAATTTGGGTTTTAGTTCCAAAATCAATGAATATGCCGCAAGAGTGGAAGCGTACGTGTTACCAAGTATCGTGTCTGATCAACCGAGCATGCAGCTCGACATTTCAAATTGGGACATACCGAGCAATATTAAGTTGGCTGATCCTTGCTTTCACCAAAAGGGTAATATTGATCTCTTACTGGGGGCAGAATTTTCACATGAACTGCTGTCGATCGGACAGATTAAAATTGGCAATAATCTTCCAATATTGCAAAATACGTTACTGGGCTGGATTGTGATAGGAAAAATAACTGACAACAATTTAGGTGTTCAGATGCAAACATGCGGCATTTGCTCGGACGATGAAGAACAAATAGAAAAGGTGATAGAGAAATTTTGGCAACTCGATGAAGCATCACCTACAAACAAAAACGTAACTCAGCAAGAAAAGTTGTGCGAATCGCATTTTATAAACAATGTACAAAAAACCAACCATGGTCGATTTATTGTGAGATTACCGTTTCAACAAAATCCATCAATTCTCGGAGAGTCTCAAAACACAGCGATAAACCGATTTTATGCCCTAGAAAGAAGATTAAGCAAAGATGAAGCAGTCTGGAAGCAGTATGTAGAATTTATGGATGAGTACGAAAAGTTGGCCCACATGAGCAAAATTCATATCGAGGACATCACATCACATTATTTGATCCCACATCATTGTGTAATTCGACCTACCAGTAGTTCAACAAAATTGAGAGTAGTGTTTGATGCATCGTGCAAGACCAACAACGGGTTATCATTAAATGACATATTGTTAACAGGCCCAAAAATTCAGAGTGAATTGTTTTCCATTTTACTTCGTTTCAGATGCCCCAGATTTGCATTTTGCACAGATATTGAAAAGATGTATAGACAAATCCTTATACATCCAAATGATAGAAAATACCAAATCATTGCGTGGAGAAGATCGCCTAACGACCCATTGCAGTTTTACCAATTAAATACAGTAACTTATGGCACAAGGTCAGCGCCATATCTGGCTACGAAGTGTTTGCAGCAACTAGCAAAAGACAAATCAACTAAATACCCGCTTGGAGCCTTGGCAATTATAAATGATTTTTATGTGGACGATTGTCTTAGTGGATCAGATAGTCTTGACACAGCTTTAGAAATACAACGTCAACTTCACGATTTATTGGAATCAGCTGGTTTCAAATTGCGAAAATGGTGTGCTAATAATCCTTTGCTGCTTCAAGACATAGCAAAAGAGGACCAAGAGGTCGATTTAGATTTCAGCAATGAAGACCAAGCATCAGTCAAAACATTAGGATTATCGTGGCAACCAAAGCGTGACAAATTCAGCATAAGGATTGATTTAACCCCATCTAAGCGAATAACAAAAAGATCGATAACTTCTAGTTTAGCAAAAATATTCGATCCCTTGGGTATTTTGGGTCCAGTGTTAGTAACAGCAAAAATACTAATTCAAGATCTGTGGCAACTCAACTTATCATGGGACGAAGCTGTGCCGAGTGAAGTACATACCAGATGGATTAATTTCTGTGACGAGTTAAGGTCATTGCACCATTTTCAGATAGATAGGCATATTTTTGGACAGCAGATTGCTTCATCGGTGCAACTCCATGCATTTTGTGACGCTTCCGAAAAGGCTTATGGAGCAGCTATATACATTCGAGCAACACTGAAAGATGAACGCTTGATCAATCGACTGCTATGCTCTAAATCTCGGGTCGCTCCAATCAAAAAGCAAACCATTCCACGCTTAGAATTGTGCGCTGCTCTTCTAGGAGTCACATTAATGAATAGGGTAAAGGGCGATTTAAATCATAAGACAGAATCATATTACTGGACTGATTCTGAAATTGTACTCTACTGGATTAATTCATTGCCAGCAAAACATCAACAATTTGTAGCAAACAGGACTGCGGCAATTCAAGACTTATCCGCACCAAGTCAGTGGCGACATGTAAGTTCAAGACTAAACCCAGCAGATGCCTTATCACGCGGCATCAAACCATCCCAATTGCAAACTCATAATTTATGGTTCTATGGTCCTATGTTTCTACATGGTCGTGAAGATATGTGGCCAGAAGAATTTAATAAAGCCCTATGCAATCAGCCAGACAACGCCGAGTTAAAAAAAACTTCGCAGAAAGTGATGCTAACAGCAACCGAAGATGATACTGAATGGATATACAAGGTAAACCACAGAAATTCTTTTAACACATTGCTTCACATTGTTGGTTATGTGCTACGGTTCATAAGGCGTATTAAGCGACTTCAATTTAATAATCATACCAATGAATTACATCCGGAAGAGTTAGAAGAATCACTTAGGTACATCGTGAAATGCATTCAGGCAGCTGAATTCAAGGAAGAAGTAATTCATTTAAAGCATCGCAAACTGGTAAAAGCATCTAGCTCGTTAGCTGCATTGACGCCGTTTTTAGATAAATATGATATCGTTCGGGTCGGAGGAAGATTAGACGCATCAAATCTAACATATAATGCTAAACATCAAATGCTCCTTCCATACAATGACTGCATAGTTAAGCTATTAATGAAGAAAATTCACGAAGAAAACATGCATTGCGGTGGCCAAGCATTATTGGCAGCGACACGGCAAAAATTTTGGCCGATCAAGGGGAAGGTAATGGCACGGTCCATCGTGCAACACTGTATTCGTTGTACAAGGTGTAGACCTGTAACTTTCAATCAAATCATGGGAAATCTTCCACATGCTCGAGTCCATCCAAGTAGACCATTTCTTAACACGGGAGTCGATTTTTGTGGACCAATTTGGGTACACTACAAAGTAAGAGGAAAGCGACCGCACAAGGCATATATTGCTGTTTTCTGTTGTTTTGCCACCAAGGCAGTACATTTGGAGCTGGTAAGTGACCTAACTACCGACGCATTTATTGGATCAGTTAAACGTTTTGTTGCGAGGCGTGGGCATTGCCAAAATCTATTTTGTGACAATGCAACTAATTTTGTTGGAGCCAATAACAAACTGAATGAACTAGTAGAACTAATTTACTCAAAAAAATCAGGAGAAGTAATTGAAAGAGCGTGCAGCAAAAAAGGTATTAAATTTAACTTCATTCCTCCTCGTACGCCTCACTTCGGAGGACTCTGGGAAGCAGCAGTGAAGTCGGCGAAACATTTACTTGTGCGCAGCGTTGCCACAGAATCCTTAACGTACGAAGAGTTAAAAACAGTTGTTATTGAAATAGAGGCGATTTTAAATTCAAGACCGATTACTCCAATGTCGAATGATCCAAATGACTTTGAAGCACTTACGCCAGGCCACTTTCTAATTGGTGAAGCTCTTACAGCACCAGCAAGTACAACCACAACAAATTTAAAGACATCATTACTAACGAGGTGGAAATTGGTGTCCCACATAAAACATGAATTCTGGAGACGGTGGAACTCTGAATATCTAAATAAGCTACAATACCGACATAAATGGCGAGAAGAATGCAAAAATTTGCAAGAAAACACTTTAGTCATCATGAAGGATGGAAATTTACCTCCTCTTCAGTGGGCATTGGGTCGAGTAACCAACATACATAAGGGTACTGACGGAATGGTACGTGTGGTCGATGTTAAAACAGCATCAGGTATTGTGAGACGTGCCATACATAATTTGGCTCCACTTTTTTCTGAAACCAACGACAGTGAAGATGACAAGATACCACCAATACAACCAAAAGAAGCAACAAAGCAACAACTGACAGCATCGAAAAGGCCTATACAGGTACCAAATTCATCGGTTAGTAGTATCAATCATTTTGGACGCAATTCGAAGGTATCCAAACGATCGAGCAACTGCTGATCTCACACCAAAAATCTGGGGAAGACAAAACATGATGTAAAATTTTTAAATAATATAAGTACACAGTTATCTGATGAGGCGTCCAGCGATGTACTTCAGTCTATGATTCATCAACGTAATATTTAATATGGCTTAAATTCACTTTTAAATTTAAATTTAAATTTTATAAATACATTCAAAATTTTGAATTAATAACCAATAAATTAATTGTAACTAATTGAAATTATTAAAATTCACATATGAAACTTTTAATTGTTCTTATAAACTTAATAACAAAAAATGTTAACAATGCTTTTTACAATTTTGACAGTTGAAAATCATGTGCAATTTAAGATGTAAACAAGCAAAAAAAACAACACAGAAGCAAGCTCTCATGACCTAGATCAACTTGTTTATTTAAAATTAAGGTGCAGTTATGCCATATCAATTGTAGGCATGCATTTTATCGTATTTTTAGTTAAACTATTCAAATTATTCAAATAATTCAACGCGGGGGAGGATGTTAAATCTCTTTAAAGTAAAATCTTGGTTGTCATATCTACATAAAAGACTTCATCTACTTAACGTTGTCAAACACTATTAATCAGCTGTTTGGCAACAAAGGAGAATGAAGTAAGCTTTAAGCTTGATTAGGGACATGAGAGCAGCTTCTGTGTTGGGTTAAAACTAAAAGACTTCCTCTTTGGTTTTGAATCGTGAATCGGGTAACAACACATGTCTAAAATTAACAACACAAGTCTAAAATTAACAACACATGTCTAAAATTAATAAAAATAAATAAACATTAAAATACATACAAAATAATTGGAGTATTCATTTTCAAACAGAACAATAAGGCAACCTACGAGTTTATGTGCTCGGCAGTTTGCGACCAGTTAAACAAAATACTAAAATATATCATCCAACACGTTCATGTGCATGTTGGAAGCTTGATATAACTATTTGCGGCTAAAATAAGAACAAACAAGTTCTTATCATACTTGGTTGATACAACAATTTGTAATTTAATAAGAACAAACGCGTTCTTATCAATTATTATAAAGCTTCCAAAAATGGGCGATCTTACAGAAAACTCTAACACTTATGAGAAACGAAATTAAAAAGTGCAAATGGGAATGGATCTGTCATACTTTGCGTAGACCGACTGGTGACACCACAAGACTGGCGATTGACTGAAACCCGATGGGTAGCAGAAGAAGGGGCAGACCTGCTCTCACCTAGAGAAGACAAACTGACACGGAAATGTTACACATGCGGAAAGGCTGGGGAGAGTTGAAGCTATTGGCCAGTAATCGTACCGAGTGGAAAATATTTGTTACGGCCCTGTGCACCTTCTAGGAGTTAAAGGATTAAATATATGTGGTTATTTTCTTTAAAAAAATATGCAATATTTTTCGATACTCTTACAGAACTTCAGACTTTTATTCAATCCGAAAAAAAACTTCTTTAATAATAAAATAAAATTTAGTGTTTTTTTTTTGTCTTTTTTAACTTTAAAAGTTCAAACTTCTCAAAATATATTAAACTTATCAAAAACTTTAATAATAAACTTCTTTAATAATAACTTCTTTAAGAATAACTTCTTCAATAATAAAGTAAATGTCAGTGGTTTTTTTCTTTTTTAACTTCAAAAGTTCAAACTTCTCAAAATAAATTAAACTTATTAAAAATTTCTTAAAACTTATCAACTTCTCAAAAACGCGTGTGTCTTAACCAAAAAACTCTTTTTTTCTCTCGTCATTTCTTTTTCCTCCTTTACTTATTTCTTTCGCTTCACTGCCTTATCTGCACTCGTCCATCCGACTCGTCGTCTGTCTCGGACGACTCAGATCCACCCTCACCATAATCCCTCCACGGTTTCATCTGTTCCGTGATCGTGGACGTTAGATTTGGTCCCTCATGCGAACCTACCTTCTTCACTTCATAACGATCGTTTTTCTTTTCTTTAGTGACTTCATAAGGGCCCAAGTACTTTGGAAAAATCTTAAGTCCAGTTTCAAACTGCGTTCGAAGTATAGCAACTAGGTCTCCAAAGTGATAACAAACGGCTTCCTTACGTCTTTTGTCAAAATGTTTTTTGTTTTCTAGTTGAACCTTTAAAATTTCTTCTTTGGCTTGCTGGCGCAACTCATGTCGATATTCCTCGAAGTTGTTTAATATCTCTTCTTCAAAACATTGTCGAACATTTTGACATTCGGTGTTGAACACAGAGACACCAAAAAGCAATTCAAACGGTGTCCTTTTTGTACTTCTGGATTTAGTGGAGTTTATCGCCATCTGTACACGACTAACATAAGTGTACCACCTTTAAAGATTTTCAAATGATAGTTTGGTTAGCAAATCTATTTTTACCTTATTCACACGTTCTACTTGTCCATTTTCTCTGGGGACACCTGTTGTTATCAAATGATGCTGAACATTTCGCTCTATACAATACGTTTTAAAGCTATTCGCAGTGAAAGCAGCGCTTCTATCGGTTATGAACTGATGAGGGTTCCCGAACACCTCGCTTTGCTGTTGCAATTTTTTAAGAACTTCTTCTGTTGAACTGGATTTTACAGGGTATATCCATATAAACTTAGTGAAAGCGTCTATTACCACAAAAAGATATTTGTAATTTTTTGCAGTTGAAGGAAGTGGTCCTAAATGGTCTAGATGAAATGTGTATAAAGGGAAATTAGGTTTTTCAATAGGTGAAAGGAAGCCCTCTCTTTTTCCGTGTTTTCTTGCTGAGAGAATGCAGTTAATGCAATTTGCTGTTACCGCTTCAACATGCTTCCTTAAGTTCGGGACGAAATATTCTTGCTCCACTACCGTTTTTACTTTTTCCGCACTCCAGTGTCCTTGTTCATGAATTTTGGTAATTAATTCTCTTCTCATTGTTTTAGGTATTACTAATAAATATGCTCCATCCACAAATTTATACAGTATTTCGCTTCGTATTTCAAAGTTCTGATATGGCTCGTTCTCCAAAATTTTGCGTGTCATTTGGCAGAATTCATCCACTATACCATCCTCTACCTGCAATACGACGGGATAACGACTCAATGCATCAACGTGTCGCATGCTGCTACCTGATCAGTGGCTCACCTTGCAATAAAACTCTTCCAGTTGCATGACCCAGTTTGCCACTCTACTATTTAAGGTTTTCTTAGCCATTGTCTGTTGGAAAGCTTTACAGTCAGTAAAAATTTCAAAGGACATACCCAATAAGTGAATTCGTAGTTTTTTCAATGCTATTACAATTGCTAATACTTCCAAATCGTAGCTGGAATAATTTTTTACTGCTGCTTTTGTTTTGTAACTAAGGTTAAATACGGGGTGGTAGTTTTTGTTACCCTGTTCTTGTAATAATACCGCTCCGTAGCCTTCCTTACTCGCATCGGTGTGAAGTTGGGTTGGAAGAGTAGGATTGAAAAGCTTTGAAACTGGATCGCAGCATAAACTCTCTTTTAGTAAGACAAACACATTGTTTTGTATTTCACCCCACACGAACGATTTGTGTTTCTTTGTGAGATCTGTTAGTGGTTTAGCTACCAAAGCGTATCCTTTTATAAACTTGCGAAAAAATCCTGGGAGTCCTAAAAAGCTCATAACTCCGTGTAAATTTTTAGGAGTTGGACATTTTTTTACTGCTCTGATCTTCTCTTCTGAAGGCCGTATTTCGCCGTGTTCTACTAAGTGAGCTAAAAACTCTACGCTTTTTCTTAAGAAGGCGCACTTTTTCCATTTTATTAATAGACCGTGATTCTCGGCTACGAATAACACTTCTTTAAGCTTCCTAACTCCATCTTCTTCATCATCAGCGGGGATGATCAAGTCATCCATATAAACCAAAACAATCTTCCTTTTTATTAAATTTTGAAATGTCGTCTTTATATATCTCTGAAATGCCGCAGGAGAATTACATAGACCAAAAGGTACTTTGCGGAACTCGTACTGTCCATCTGGTGTGACAAACGACGTATATTTCATACTCAATTCATCGACATCGACATGAAAGAAACCATTACATAAGTTTAATGTAGTAAATACAGTTGCGTTATATAATCCTTCCAGTATCTCTTCGATATTTGGCAGAGGGTATCTGTCACGAATTACCTTGGAGTTTAGCTTCCTATAGTCGACGCATAATCGGTAACTGCCATCCTTTTTCCGCGCTAACACTATTGGGCTTGCGTAATTCTATGAGCTTTCTTGAATTATTCCATTTTCTAACCATTCCTGAATCTGAAACTGAACGAAGTCTCTTTCTGTCTGTGCTAATCTTCGTGGCTTTTGAAAAATTGGTTTATCGTCTTCCAGTGTGATATGCATTTTTATATAGGACTCCTCTGGCTTTCTTGGTGAATATAGTTCTATAAGTCCTCTTATATCCGCCCGTAGCAAAGAATTTTTTATGTTTGAAAGATCTTCCGCATTGGTGACATCAGAAATACGTATTAAATTTCTATGTGAGCCCGCTTCAACATCGTCTCTGGTCTTGTTTTTATATGTGACGATTTCACCTTTGTCTATTAGAACTGTTGCACATCGCAAAAATCCCTTACCTAAAATTACGTCAGTATTTACCCAAAAGTCAGGTACTACATCAAAATTCAAATTATAATGCTCTGAATCTACAATTACATCGAGTTTTACAGATCCTTTCGTTAGTTTGTTATTGTCACCAAACCCTACAACACTTGTACCTGGTCCATTGAATCCTTCGACACCCAATCATTCTGTTGCGCGTTGTGTAATTATATTAATAATACTACCAGTATCTACCAGAGCTTCGAATGACTGCTCCAATATTTGAATTTTTAATGTAAAATTCGAGAGCTGCACTCTATCAATTCATGATGCTGAACTACGCGCTTGATTTGGATTTTGTTGGCTTACAGGCCTTCTGAAATTTGTATTATTTTGACATATTGTAGCAATGTGATCAAATTCATTGCACTTAAAACATCTTCTTCCTATAATAGTTGTCGTAATTATTTCGACCTTGGCATCTT